CTCAAATCATAATTCTAAAACACACAAACTCAAAATACAACTCATATTCTCAAATCATAGTTACAAAGCTCTACCAAACGGAGCCTTATATTTTCAAATTTTTCTTGCTGAGATTTTTCAAATAAGAACTACACTGAATACGAAATTCCAGAAGAAAAAAAAGAAAAAACTGAAAATTTCAAGGCTCGCGTAACAGTTAAATCTAATTGTTTGGGATGACTCTTTTAAATCCTAATTTTAATTCCATTGATCAGTATAATTTCACACTATTTAATACTTTCATACTGTTAAACTTTACTTGGGGATTAAATAAGCATTTTCTAATGTGAAAATGATGATTTTGAGCTATTTTAAGAAGATGGTTATAATAAGTTTTTTGGTTAAAAGCTGATTAAAAACTAATTATGATTAACTTTTTGTGAGAAGGAGAAGATTAGGGAAATTACGACTAGTAAGAGAATGTTGGCAAACCCGGAGCTCCACAAGAGAATTCGCTCGTCTTTCTTTGAGTTGGAAAGTGGAACACTGTCTTTCCTTACTTTGAAAATAGCAACTGCAAACTCGAATTTCCCATTAGACAGCAGCAGTTTCTTCTTCCAACATGTTGTATTGCTAAATATGGCAACGTCACACAAACAATCGTTCAAACAAGACTGTTCGCACGGCATTTGATTATAAGGTTCCAAACTCTCATAATCTCCAAATGGCCAATTCACGCCGTGAATCGGAACCAAACCATACATGTCTTCTGGCTTTTTCGTTCCATCGTCTACTCCGCAACCTTGAGGGAAATTTGGTTTGCAGCCTCCAAAAATTGTTGTTTGGATCCATGAATGAATAGTCGGGTGGGCAGTGACAACTAGGAGTGCCACCGTTTACTATGCAGTAGCTATTGAACCCACAGGCCCCGCTGCCTACTTGCGGGTTTATCAGTGCCATACATATATCGTCAGGGATGTATTGAACAATTGACGAGCTCTGGCCACTGACAGAAGTCTTCGCATAAGTATATTCCCTGAAAACACCATCAAAATCCAACGTTGTGGGATAGTAGCTGTTTGAGCTTTGAGTGATGTCCTGCTATGAGAGTGGGACAGCCCCTCCATTCACTTTCACAATGTAAATATCGGCTGATTGATTGAAAACCAGTTGAAACCCAGATTGAGAAGAGTTGGAATTAGCCTTTCGACTACTGTAATAAGGCGCATAAAGCTTGTCGCTTGGCCAAGCGACAAGATTGAGTTCAAGATCTCCTCCATTAGTGAAATGGAGCTCAAACCTTCCTTTTGAGTAGTTGGTTTCAGAAAACTTAGAACACAACATGCCACCTAGTCGCAAAATTTGGGTTGGCAAGATGGTGTCTGTAGGATAACTAAAACTTGCCCATACATAATTAGAATTAGTATCTGAAAGCACAAAGTTACCCGTGTCGAGCATCATACCATATGATGCAGTGGTGTTAGGTTGTGCCGTCCATATTGTTTGGCCATTGGGATCATTTAGTGTGTGGCCATTGGCAGTGAGCTCAACCTTTGAACCTGCTTGCAGTGCATTAGTTGTGTTTGTGTGCTAGACGATGGTTTTGTCGGGTATGTTGGCATACCATATCGCAAGCAAGAAGGTGTTTGTGTTGTTGAGTTGGTAGAATCCGAAAGCAAAATCCCCAGATGGTGAAATCCATGAAGAGTTGTCACCATTGGTGGACAGTGATGAGCTCGGAGTTATGTTGGAAGCAGAAAAAATAGGTAGAAAAGGCAAAAGAGAGAGGAGGAGGAGGAAGAGTAGAGAGATAGGAGAAGAAGCCATTGAAGATAGTGCTCTGCAAACAAGGTGTGTTACAACATAAAGTTTGTTTTGTAATGCTTTAGTCAATTTGGCTAATTTCATAGTATTGAGTCAACCACATTTAATTTGTACAAATAGGAAATAATTATCAAATATTATATATAAATTTCATTCAGAATGATCTGTTGATAATATTTTATTTTGTATAGGCTACCTTCCTGTGATTGTTCTTTATTGGTGTGATTGTTCTTAAGACGCGCTTTTGGACTCTTTTTTTTTTGAACTCTTTTTTGGACTTTGGGAGCAATAAAGATGCAAGTTCTTTCAATATTTTTTAATTACTGCTTTACCCTTTGTCATTGTATGTTTTTTAATTTCAATTTTAAAATGTTATAACTTAAGTTCTAAACATCTG